TATAATGTCGGTGACTGATCTGTGAAAATGCGAGACTTTATAAAACTATGATCACTGTTAAAATACAACACTTAAATGACARAAAGATCACAATATGCAAAACTAAYGATAACCTATAGCTKATAAMCTACGATTGAAATAATTTATGAACAAAATAAACTCCTGTTTTTGTTACAGAGACATTAGATAATTTAATAGCGGGAAATACATATCAATAGATGCCACCAACCCGTATGTCTTTGATCTAGAGAAGTCAGAGCTTCATGCTTAGTGACTCAGAACTACGTCCAAGTTCATAACAATACGTAATAATTGTATTCTTAATCAGGCATAAATATCAGTGCATTTTAGTGAGTTCATCACTTTGACTTGGAAGAGCTGCAAACATGAAGTTGTACCTTAGCCTCTTGGTGCTGGTTGGCCTCGTTGCCTTCTGCATGTCTGCTCCTGCTGCTGATAATCTTGAAGACAATCCAGCTGATGAAAACCTCCTCGAAGACGTCGAAGCTCCTGGTATGTCGTTTTTCATGTTATAACTATAAAATAATTTAGAAATATAGACTAACATGCATTTTGATTTGATACATGCCGCCAAGTGCATATAGTTGTACAAACCACACCCTATCCAAGTGCTTGTGGATCCCGCAGTTTATCTATTAAAATATTTTGATTAGTTATTATTATTATTCGGGAAAAAAAATGATGTCGACTAATATTTGATCAAAGCACCTCTGAAATTAATCAAAAGTAAATTTAACACTAAAAATCAGCAGTAAGAACAAATTGTTCCGTTTGTTTTCAGAAACCGATGAAATTCAAAATGACGAGGATCTAGACAAGAATGGTAAGATTTATAAAGCCTCGTGAAGTCATCAATCTTAATATAGAAGTTTGTCCGACGACCCAGTCCTGGTTTTTTGTTGTTTATCGCGTATATAATTGATATTGTTTATTCATTCAAAAATACTGATGAAAATATGAAACAATCATTAAGGCAAAGGTAAAAACGTGTTTTTCCAAATTCATCAATTTTCATCAAATTTGAAACATTTCCCTTTTTTCAGTTCACCACATCTAAAATTTACAGGCAAAATCAGTATCAAGCTTAATAAACTGATCCAAATGTAATTTTGGAGTGCTTTAATTTATTAGAATATTTGTGATTCTCTTTACAGCTGAAGAAAGCGAGGACGAAGCGCAAGAGGACGAGAATCCTGTCGAAAATGGTACGATAATACATAAGTTGGTATAGTTTTGTCAAATTATCACAATTTTCCGATTTTTTTCATTGACAGTCAAAAGACATGAAGCGCGCCCTCTCAAAACACCATTATTCAATTCATTATTCGATTCTTGGTACCATTACATTATTGAAATCAAATTTGAATTCAAACTTCGACATTTGATTGGATTATTGATCGGATTTTCATAAAGCCTTCTTCGTATTTCGCTTGTAAACATGCTGGTCTTTTGTAATTTCCACAAGCCGATGCATTGCATTGCTGTCTGTTAATTTGGTTGGATCTCTTCCTTCTCGTGAGAAAGGAATGACGGTCTCAAAAAGCTGGAAATGCTGTGCTGTTTTCTGTCATTATCAGAGTTTGAGATTTGAATTTAATTTTGTATTAATCAGCTGAATTGAAGTTTTGAAAACGAAAACAAAATGAAAAATCCAATAATGCATTAAATAAAGAACTCTATTCGGTAGGGAGGGGGGTCCTTCATGTCTTTTGACTGTAACATATTAGCAAATCTGTCAGTTCTCTATTGTTGTTATAGTGAGATCTCACTTCGTTTCTCTCGGAAAAAAGACAGACATTGTTTTAAAAGGCTGAAGCACAGACTTTTTGTCTGATGTTGCCGTTACTGTTGTTTTTGTTTCTCTCTCTTTCGCTAAACGTTTTATTTTCATATTTAGCTTATTTTAAGTCTTAACTTATACCTATATGTACTTTGTTTATGGATCAGTTGTTATAGAATATGATGAAAGCTTGAATTGAAACATTTTTCGGTTGGATTTGTGTTTTTTTCCTTTATTTCTTTCTCATTTTTGGGGGGATTTAAAAAATATTTCGAAGAAAAAGCAAACAAACAAACAACATTATCAGTGAAAATGTATTACATAATATTGTAAAATATTTTAAAAATGTCAAATTTTAATAACGTTTTTTTATTCCAAAATTGCAAAGGAAAGAAAGAAAAAATAAATATCACTATATATCGCTCATTTAAAACAAAAACTACAACATTATCAATATACCCTGAACTTATATTTTATTAGTAAATCGTCAAGTGCACATGCATTTTCCAAATGTGCGCCATCGTTATCATCACATTATCACCATCATCAATAGCCATCATCACTGATATTATTCGTTTTTCATCATCTGATCAGCTTTGTAGTGATATTTCTTCTTCTGTTTAATTGCAGCTGTAGAGGAAAACAACGTCGAGGACGTGGAGGATACAGCTGAAAATGGTATGATTCATTAGAAATACAATTTTGGTAAACACGCTAATTATACTGTGGCGCGCGGGATCCCTGTGGCGCGCAGGGGATCTTGGGGCCCACGAGGGATGTTTTTGTAAGAGATCCAAGATGGCTGTCAGGTTGTTTTGTTAGTTTGAATAAAATCCATGTTGAACAAAGAAGCTGGGCCACATGTGGTGCCGTGACCAGGATTTCAATCATTTTAACAACAACATGGACTCAGAAGAAGAAGAAGAGGATGTATTGATGAATTTTCCAGGATTTTCTGGTGATTTATCGACGAGTCGTAGCACTTTTATCGAGAACAGGAGATTGAGGGGCGAAGTGGATCGTTTAACCCGACAAATGGAGATGATACTAGCACACGNGGAATAGTTTGTTGAACGATTCAGAATAGTGAATTAAAATATCATTATTATATACGTATCTCTAGTAAATCGACTCAAATTTGTTGCGATGAAATGCCGTGCGCAACGGAAACGGTTGAATTGAAACTTAGAACAAATATATAGAACCACACGGCTATCATTCCCAATGATGAACAAACGGACAAATCCCATGGGGGTGGGGGTTGATAGCGATGTCCTCCAGTAATGACTATACTTGCATATATACTATATGCACATTTATTAATATTCATTGAGCTTGACAGATATTTCTATCAAATTGTACTAAGTAATCAAACTTAGACATTCAACTCAATCTGCCATTTATTTGGAGCAATTTATCCAGATTTCTGACTGAAAGTGCCCCTTGATTATAATAAATGTGATATTCAGTCAAATTATTTGTAAAGCTGAACTATAAAAACAAAAATTTCTGACTCAAACTGACACGGATACACTCAGACAAKCCGTCTAATTTTTAAAAATATCTTTCTGTTGTGAAGAAGAGTTTATTAAACCATTAAACTGAAAGATCTTCCGACAATGGACGACTGACCACTGAACCAACGAGACATCGATCCATTGTCAAAACGAACCCCAATATGCACGCCCACGTAAAGACTTGAAAAATAATATTAGTATATCGGGTAATAGCGGTGAATAGCGGTGCATTGGAYACCTATAGCAATGTCTTATATTAACATTGCACGAATTAACAGTATATTTTCATTTGTCATTATTATGACTTTGAAAGAAAGGTCAAGAAACCAGCAAGGGTACAATCCATATATGTTATGATATATGATTACTGTATTACTAGAGGTTATCCATGTACAGTTCCAATATAAGTGAAATATACATTTAATACTCTAATTGCAAAAAAATTGTGTTAGACTATAAAACATTTTTACTTTATTAAAAAGAAATACGTCAAAAAGACAAAYGACAAAAGCGTTCTCGTTGAGTGAATGTTCTTTTGTCTTTTTTACAAATTTATTTTTGCTTAAATTCAAACATTTCTCCATGGCATGACCAAAATTTTCGCAATAGATTGTATTGTATGCATTATAATTCAATTAAGATGATATTTATATTTGCTAAAGATTCGTCGARCGTAAATAACAATACTGTGAACATTTTCTAGATAGTAAAAAGAATAAGACAATGACAGGCAGTCAGTTATTGTTTCACAGGTTCGCTYGAGCACAGCTATTTCATAATAATGTCCATTTTAGGTAAGATATAAAAGTGAAATCTCAGCACGATATCATAGCAACCGTTGCTGAGACCGTTTTTCCCAGACACATGCTGATCGAGGAATTTGAAGAAATAGTAAAAATTGGTTGCTGCCATGGCAACAAATTGTGAAAAATATTTAAAAAATCTTTTAAAAATCAGAGACATCATTGCTGTTTAATGCTGGATTATGGAATATACATGATATTTTGATGATGCTTATTGAGGCTTAATAATRTTGGTGCTTAAAAGTAGCATTTTTTAAGACATTCAAAGTTTGCACATTCAGTTTCAGCCTGTAGTGACGTCATCAGTGATGCAGGCTAGGATATTTACGAACAGTATTGTAGACCATATTTCATCTAAGCCATACCATTGTACCAATATATTGAATTACAGTGAATAATCGCTGTTTTGCTGTCAATTTGGTTATATTTCGTGMWTTYTKTG